CTGTTTGACAGAACTAAATTGAGAACATTATTATCTTGGGTGGGTTTGGTATTATGTTGACTTAGGAAACAGTCCTGAACTGTTTCAAGAAAATCCTCTGATTCTGAGTTACCCATAACGTCGATTCCATCTATTTGGCTAAAGTTAAAGTTGCCTACTATACTGTACAGACGTTGCTATGACTGGATGCCCTGCACATTTCATCCCAGATAAGTCGCTCATTATCTCTATCAAGATTAGGAGGTCTATATATTACTCCTGTGATTAATGTTTCCTTACTATCGATTAATTATATCCTAATTGTTTCTGTATTCAATTCAGTTTTTATTTCCTTATTTATATCACACTTCAGATTATCTGCCTCCTTTATTAATCTGCCTATCGATATGGAATAATTTGTAACCTGCAATTTGGTATTCAACAGGTAACTCACGCGAGTCTAAGTTCATCCATGTTTCAGTGAATGCTATTATATCGATTTTTACGGTACATACCAAAGCCCTTATTTCATCCATTTCATTTCTCATACTTCTATTGTTTGCGTAGTAGATATTTAAGTTAGTCGCGATCTGAGTCCTCTCTTTGTCGCGTTTAGGTTTTAACTCCCTGCCTAGTTTAGTTGTGTCATCATTCCTAGCACTATTTCTCTGTAGCTTTCACTTCGTTTACCCTCTCCCACTGCAGTCTCCCCCAACCCCAGGCTCACATGTTTCCTAACAGTTTAAAGACTTCGCCATCTTTTGATGTGACTTCTCGATAGAGCCAGCCAGGGTTGCCACCCCATCCCTAGACAGATGTACCCCATCCCTAGCTCAAAGGTACCTTCTGCCGTAAAAGCTGTCCCAGTTGTCAACGAATGGGACTGATATTGACTTGGAAGATCTGTCAAGACGGCCGTTGACACCAACTGCTACGTCTATTGAGGGACCAGTGTAGGACATTATGTTGGACAATTTTCATCCTGCTAACGATTGCCATTTCGGAAACTGTAGCTTGGGGCGTCGCTTGAAGTGTTTGCTCGGCTTCTGCCATTTCTAGAGGGCCGGAACTTCTTAGCAGAACCTTCTAACATCTGTATATTATTTGTAATTCGAAACCCATTCCCCAAATATGTAACTGTATATTTACAGCCTTCTGGCTGCCAAGCTCTTTCAATAAACCGTTAATTTATTATTATTATTATTATTAATGGTGAGCCCTCGAACTTCTCGTCACCCGTGTACAGGAAGATGTTCAGGTCCTTGGCCTGCGTGTCGCAGATATCTACTGACTCTGCAGCTCGAGGGTCTTGTTCCAGTGTGGAATAAGTCGCCTTCACCTTGTCGCAACCATTGACAGTAGTTGCAGTCCGATGGTCACTGTTGCTGCGTCGCTGGGAGTACATATCTTGGGGTCACGGAGATTTACGGTGTTGCAAGAGGAGCTGTGGTCCCAGGGGGACTGACTGGCCACGTCGGGGCTACGGTTATGCTGACTTTGGCCTAAGTTCAGGGAGGTCATGTCCATTTCTGCCGTGGGTTGAGGTCGCCGTGAAGTCGTTGAATGGAGTACTGTTTTCAGGATTTCTTTTGAAGAGATGTCGTTTATTTCAACAGGTGCAATTTTGTTCCTGGTTAGTGTCTCGTTGAGGTGTTAAGAGAATGAACCCGGATGAACCATGTTCATGTGATGGGCATGCAGGTAAGATAAGTATATAGCGGTGGCTTTGGACTCGTCCAGCTGTGGAGAGGAGACGCTCCTGATGCTCTCCGCTACTGCGTCCCTCATGGCGCCTCATGTGTAGTTGCAAATACAGTATATGATACACTATAGAATGTAGGCCATTATGGACGTCATCTTGAATTCCTGAGTTAGCACAAGGGTGATGTTCGGGTGATTTAGTTATGTTTTTTCATCACACATTTATGAGTCTTTCCTGAAAAATTTATTTTGTTGCCAGTTTGTTCCAGGTTTGACCCTAGTGCTCTTGGACTATATACAGTAGATTGTTTCAGAATAAGAAGAACTATGTCATTGTGAATAGGATGGGTTTGACCTTCAGCTAAATTTCAAATATTATCTCTCAGCTCGCCTGCAAGATGACCTGATATTAGACTTATATGAATGAATCAATCATGACGGCGCAGAGCAAATATGCGAAGACCAGTGCTGTTACCACCGCACACCCTCACTCACACCACACCCCGTGATAAAGCCTGCCACTAACCACATTCATTCTACGAGTAGGCCTACTATTTCTTGCACTATGCTTGTCGGTGTCCTACCATTAAAAGAAAACTGGTATATCTATACCATGTAAATATTTATTGCTACCATACATATACTGGTAGTTAGGTTTGGAGTAAATTAAGGAGTCATCCACTATCTATTATTCCCGATGTTTCATATTTGATTGTCCGTGCAAATTATCAGGCTTTGTTTAAAAAAATATATATGCACATATTTCATAGAGCCACCAATGCAGTTTTGACAAATAAGTGATTATACATTCTTCATGGTGGCTAACTCATTCAGTATTACATTATTATCACCGATCATTACAAAACTGTTATGAGACTTATGAGATAGAATTAACATTTGGACTTTCTCATAGTATTCGGTCATTATACATGGGTTCTGTAAAGGACGCCTGACTTTACACTCAATCCAAAGTACGTAATTATTGTAGTCTAATGTTAATTGCACTAACTGTCTGTTCCAATTTTGGTCTCGGTCCATGTCCAAAGAGTGAGCCACCACGACACCACCTACAAGATATACATGATTAATTATATAATTCTATGGCATAGTATATCAGATAATATAGTGATAGTGGTAAATCCGATAAGCCATCATTGTAAACAGTATGTGACTTTGGCTTAAATACAGATAATTATTTCTTCTTCCATTGCGGGGGTGGGTCTCTATCCACGGTATGGGTGATATCACAAGGATTGAGAAAAGGTTTCTGCTGCAAAATACAGGGATATTTTGCAAGAATTTTTCCTCTTCTTAATTCAGAAATGGAACTATCCATTCCCTATCCCATTCATGCAGCGAGGCTAAGGTCGACAGCACTCGCGGCTGCTGGAGTTGCTAAGCAAGGGGTGAGATATAAACCACATAAAAAATATGTGGGGGGATATGGTGAACTGTTGGGAGGCAGAAAAGAACGAACACCATCAGAACTATGCCCCACACTTGAAAAATGGCTAAGTCCGTGAATAATCACTTATTTGTCATGGTGACTTTATGACATTAGTGTAGATATACATATTTTAAAAACTAACCCTAATAATTTGCATGTAGACAATCACATATGAAACAGGAATAATAGATTTCGGACGAGTCCTTAATTTACTCTACAACCTAACTACTAATATAATTATGTGTAGCAATAAATATTTACACGGTATAGATCTACCAGTTTCTTTTAACGGTAGGACACTGACAAGATAGTGTAAGATATAGTACTCGTAGAATGAATGTGGGTAGTGGTGGGATTTATCATGGCGTATGGTGGTAGCAGGACTGGTTATTTGCTCAGTCACCATGAGTGATTCATACAAACACCAAACTTGGTATTGGTCAATTAGAGTGTAAATAAGTCTAACATCAGGTCACCTTGGGGGCGAGCTTAGAAATAACATTTAAAACTTCAGTACATTATGACATCCTATCCACAATGACAAAGCACCTCCTATTGTGAAACAGTTCATAGTCTGGCCAGCTACATTGCTGTTATGTCATGCATTTTACCGTTTTGACAATTATCATTACCTGCATATTAATTCCAGCAAAATGATAGTACATTCTAGCATACAGAAATTCTTATATTCTGTAAATAGCATCTATCCTTATGTAATGGCACATTTTGGTTTGGGAAAACAGTTAGCGAAGAGAGTATGAAGGTTGTCCAGATATAAAAAAAGGCTGAAATCAATAATGTTTTATTGGTTTATCCCAATATTACTTAATACCACAGTTAAAATATCATTATTCACAAATGAGGAAACAATTACAAAACATGACAGTATGTTGGTGCACTCTTACATCACAACATATCGGTACACTGCTACTGACTTGAAGACAATGACATTCTCTTTTATAACCTGTATTAAAAATATAACCATGCAAGAATTGCTTGCATTCAGAGATAGAGGTGGATTGTTTATTTATCATCCATAGTCTAGCTACTATTAGGAGGTTTCTTTGGATAATTGCGGAAGTCTCCTCTTAACTCGAGAGCACTTTGGAATCATGCTTCAATACTCTTTGGGTTAACACACCATGGAAAGAGAGGATTGGCAACACTAACTGTTCCAGGTAAAAGTGTGGGTAACTGTTCATATGACGACAACAGCAACAAAATAATAATAAAACAATTCCTAGCCTTTTTTTATTTTGGAAGTGGCTACATACCAAGGGAATTCCCGTCTGAGCAGACTGGAAGCTATGTAGTTGGGGATGTTAAATTAGGTTAGAAAAGTCATGTAACCTGGTACAGTATATGAGTTGTTAGGTTTGGTTATGTAGGCTCTTTTTTCTAGTTAGGTTAGGTTAGCTTAGCTTTGTAATTATTAAACACGAGAATAGCAAACACGGGCTGACACCAACTATACTCATGTAACCTAAGGAATCACACCCACTCTCACATAAGTCCAATGTAATTGGTACGTTCTAGATGTTGGCTCAACATCCCTTTTCTGTTGAAAGTGAGCCATCACCAACCAACCAATCCACCGTCAGCCACGATGGCATATGGCTTACTAGTAATACATTTTGCAGAATCATTGCCAGCCAAAATCTGTCTATACCCCGGAGTAGCACTTAGTAGAACTCCTTATGATACAGAGTTGTTTTCCACATCACAGAACCTTCAAGAGTTAGAATATTTTGATCCAAGTTTCTCCACTCTTTGGTGGACAATAGTTTTAATACAACACTTATGTAATTAGTTTTCGAGAAAAAAATTTTCATCAGTGACAAAAGGTTAAACAACTGGTAACTACGAACACATATGACATTCAGAGGCTTTATTGCCATACCTCGCCTCACTGCAAGTTGGAAGTACAGCATACAAATTCGCCGGCATCGCTTAGGCACCAGTCGATGCACGCTTCCTTGTCTTCATCTTCATCAGTAAACACTTGCACCACTGATTTTGAAGTGACATCAACAGTCGCCTCGCTATCCGCTGAGCTTGACAGTTCTATGTCTGCTCTGTAGAAGCAAAACAGTAGACAACAATACTGATAAAAAAGTAAATACAGAGATGCATAACTACAGCACTAATATCAAGTAATAAGTAAACCATCAATGGTCTATTTTTTTGGAAATAACAACCAGCTGTGGAGACCTTACGAGTACATGGAGAATATGGCCATATCTCGATTAACACTTAAAGCGTGCAGCTCAATAGTTAGGTATTTTATTCTGGCTAACATCAGACGATTTTATTCAGCTGAGAGAAACCTCTGCCCGCATATCAGAGGGGGAAAATTCTTGAGAAACGTGGAACAATGTTATTAAAATCTTTGTCAGGTGTTGATGGTGAGCATAGATCAGGGGACTGACCCCACGTCCGTCACGTGTTATGATTACTGTATCCGTAAGATCCATGCCTGTTGTGCTACAAGTATCATTTATGAACCCTGTATCAGTCCTGCAAGAAGAATCATTTATGAACCCTGTATCAGTCCTGCAAGAAGTGTCATTTATGAACCCTGTATTAGTCCTGCTAGAAGTATCATTTATGAAACCTGCATCAGTCCTGTTAGAAGTGTCATTTTGAACCCTGTATCAGTGTTGATAAAAGTGTCATTTATGAACCCTGTATCAGTCCTGCTAGAAGTGTCATTTTGAACCCCGTATCAGTCCTGCTAGAAGTGTCATTTATGAACTTTGACTCAGTCCTGCTAGAAGTGTCATTTATGAACCCTGTATCAGCCCTGCTAGAAGTGTCATTTTGAACCCTGTATCAGTCCTGTAAGAAGTGTCATTTATGAAACTCGACTTCAGGCCTGCTAGAAGTGTCATTTATGAGCCATGAATCATTCCTGATAAAAGTGTCGTTTATGAACCCTGTATCAGTGTCATAAGCATGACGAAAACTAGCGGTAAGCAATTACTAATGACGTAATTTAGGGAACCCTCGTGATTGTTTGATATCTTTGCTGCTAGTCAAGGTAGGCGGAGGGTGAGGGGAGGTTGTGGTGTGAACTTCACTGGAAGTGATAGAGTATCGTGTATTTTAAGATTATTCAAACCCTCCCCGGCAGAGCATTTGTTAAAACTTGGATTGTACCAGACCGAGAAGCCTGTTGGTGGAAGTCTCGTGTGCGGGACTGGCAGGGAGTAAAGGTATAGTGCACGTGGAGGTCTCTAGTTGTGTGTGAGGCCGGTCAAGGAGGTGGCGGAGTACTCACTCTCCAGTGAAGGACCAACGTTGGCATTAGCTGCAAGGTTCACCCTGTTAAATCATTGATTTAATGTATTAGGTATTGTCTGTGGCTGTACGAGGTTGTATGGCTAGGGATGGCTAAGTTAGGATTTATCCTTTATAGAAATATTTTAATTATACAGTACCTGTATGTCCTGCAATGAGTTGTCTGTATTGGTGGTTCGAGTATGTTCCCAGTTTATGTTACATTTGGTCCGTGTTGCTGGTATAATGTGTTACTAGTATAAGTTAGCTTAGGTTGTATTACCTCTTGTATTGTCTGGATATATTATGTTATATATTTGTCCTGCCAGGTGGCTAATTATGTTTCTTTGTATTGTCTAGTTATGTATGCCATGTTAGTTGGGTGCCCTTGTTTCTTATGTAAGATGTCATAATCTACAGTATATGAGTTGATGATGTATACCTATAAAGAAGTGAATTAAAATTTTTCGATATCATATTTGGCATTTATACAGTGCTTATTATGATCCTGAAATTGAATGGAAAGTTGAAGTTTAATTTGGAAGAATCTGCGACTTGTAACATTAGTCAGAGAGAGAATATCACAGCTCAACATGACAATCAGTCATGTTAGAAGAGTCTTGTATGAACCTCTACTCAGTCCTGCTAGAAGTGTCATTTATGAACCCTGTATCAGTCCTGCTAGAAGTGTCATTTATGAACCCTGTATCAGTCCTGCTAGAAGTGTCATTTATGAACCCTCTATCAGCCCTGCTAAAAGTGTCATTTATGAACCCTGCATCAGTCCTGCTGGAAGTGTCATTTATGAACCCTGTCTCAGTACTGCTAGAAGTATTATAAACCCTGACTCAGTCTTGATAGAAGTGTCATTCATGAACCCTGTCTCAGTCCTGCTAGAAGTGTCAATTATGAGCCCTGTATTCAGTCTTGGTAAAAGTGTCATTTATGAACCCTGTATCAGTCCTGCTTGAAGTGTCATTTATGAACCTTGACTCAGTCCTGCTAGAAGTGTCAATTATGAGCCCTGTATCAGCCCTGCTAGAAGTGTCATTTTGAGCCCTGTATCAGTCCTGCTAGAAGTTTCATTTATGAACCTTGACTCAGTCCTGCTAGAAGTGTCAATTATGAACCCTGTATCCGCCCTGCTAGAAGTGTCATTTTGAACCGTGTATCATTCCTGCTAGAAGTGTCATTTTGAGCCCTGTATCAGTCCTGCTAGAAGTGTCATTTATGAACCCTGTATCTGTCCTGCTAGAAGTGTCATTTTGAACCCCTTATCAGTCCTGTAAGTAGTGTCATTTATGAACACTGTATCAGTCCTGCTTGAAGTGTCATTTATGAACCCTGTATCAGTCCTGCTAGAAGTGTCGTACATAAACCCAGACTCAGTCCTGCTAGAAGTGTCGTACATAAACCCTGTATCAGTCCTGCTAGAAGTGTTGTACATAAACCCTGACTCAGTCCTGCTGGAAGTGTCGTACATAAACCCTGTATCAGTCCTGCTAGAAGTGTTGTACATAAACCCTGACTCAGTCCTGCTGGAAGTGTCGTACATAAACCCTGTATCAGTCCTCCTAGAAATGTTATACATAAACCCTGACTCAGTCCTACTACAGGTGTCATTTAAAAAAAAAGACTAAAAAAACGGAAACAAACAGTAAAAATCTGGGAGTGTTCCTCCGATACTGTGTGAAAATTAATCAAGGGTATGCGTCGGTTCATGTTGAATTAACTTACAGTATATAATATAATTTCCAGCTTACTTACTTTTTCTTTGTGTCGATAACAGCAGGGAGTGACAGCGTGGGGTTGGGGTTGGTGGCGTTGCTAGTTTCATTAGTCCCACGCTCTAACTCACTATATGTTACGTTAAGTGACGTGTTGTTACTCAGGGCAAAATCAGGTTGCAAAGGCGCTGAGGGTTGATCGAAGTCAAAGTCAGGTAGTTTCAATTCTTCGTCGACGTTATGGTGACGCGGCAGGTCTAGTGAGTGTTCCTGGCACCGTGCACCATACAGCAGCGCCATTAGCCCCGCTATCAACCCTGTGCAATTAGTCTAAGATGTAATCCTTTTATTAAAGTGTACCTCTTTTATGGCATATATTGCCTTCTCTATACATACTTAAATGTGAATTTATGATGAAAGTACGTTCTTATGCCGAGAAAATGCCATAATACAAATAATGTAGTGGATATTCAGCCGTCACCGGTTAAACAGCAAGGTAATCTAAGCAACCGGGGCTCATAAACAGCTGGGTTATTCAGCCGTGAACACACAAACATATTAGTAATATATATATATATATATATATATATATATATATATATATATATATATATATATATATATATATATATATATATATATATATATATATATATATATATATATATATATGTATGCAAGGTAGGTGCCATGATCCAGGTAATATGCTTCCATTACACAACGTACTTCATTTTTCCAACGCCATTACAAGCATAACTCCAGCTGTGCTTGAACGTGTTCTTCAGCAGTGGAGGACACGCATTGAAGAGTGTTTTCAACAGAATGGTAGTCATGTAGAGCATATTATATAAATAAAAATGGATTTTCATATAAAATTTATTTTTCCTATGTATGGAAATTTATGGGACACCCTGTATATATATATATATATATATATATATATATATATATATATATATATATATATATATATATATAATATATATAATATATAATATATATATTAGTGTGTAATTCACATCTTCAGGGGTGAGTACAGACTAAAGAGAAGTACAAAACAAGGTGTATATATACAGAGGAGGGTGAGACCAGGTCCACAATGGTCAGGTATTAGGTAATGACCCTACTAATCTTTAAATAGCACGGCAACGGTCGGTAGTCAGGTCAGAGGGTAAGGTGACCCAACCTTCTCACCTGGTTACAAATCTTCTTAATTACAAAATTGTCCAGTTTGTACATGCCATTACTCAAATTCATGTTGAATGCTTCGGTATGTTTAATGAGACTAGATTCTATGCTGTTCCTACTATCAATTGAATTACAAGGTAATATTGAGGAGGCATTATCACAGTCAATGCAATGCTTGTTATCCCTCAAATGAACAAACAGAGCATTGGATTCCTGCCCTGTCCTAACACTATATTTATGTTGTTTAAGTCGAGTTACAAGATCTTTACCTGTCTGGCCTAAGTAAAAGATATTACATTCCTTGCAAGGAACTTTATAAATGCGACCAATTGTGTTGTTGGGGGAGTTCTTGATTAACATTTGTTTAACAATGCATGAGTTTTTAAATGCCACATTGACGTTCCAGGTTTATAGTTGTAAAGCAATGTGTGAGAAATTTTTGTGAAATGGTAATATTAAGATATTCTTATGGTCATGGGTAGGCTTGGGATCAGTTCTATAAAAAGATTTCTTAGTAATGTTTAGGCATTTGTCTATGAAAGATCTAGGGTATTTAAGGTTTGAGCCAATATTATAGATATATTTATATTCCTCATCAATGAATTCCGGACTGCAAATTCTCAAAGCACGTAAAAACATTGTTGAAAATACTGACTGTTTGACTCTATTATTGTGGGCATAATAATAATGAATGTGTGAACACACTTTAGTTGGTTTTCTATAAATACTGAACTGAAAAGTGTTACCTATTCTGTGTATCAGACAGTCTAGGAATGGCAATTTACAGTCTTGCTCTAATTCCACAGTGAATTTGATCGAGGGGACTAAGTTGTTAAGTTGTGGCAGGAAAGCTTTTAGGTCCTCATTACTTGGCCACAGACATAATACATCATCTACATATCTAAACCAGACTGCTGAAGGTGGTAAGATATTACTTAATAGTTTCTTTTCAAGGAATTCCAGATATAGGTTGCTTAATACAGGTGAGAGTGGATTACCCATTGCCATACCAAATTTTTGAGCATAATATTCTCCATTGAATTCAAATTTACAATCCTTAATACATAGTTTGATGAGTTCGATGAAGTCGTCTTTCGAGACGGGCAATGAAATATTATCCAGGGAATCTATGAGGAACTCTAGTAAATCATCAACTGGGACCTTTGTAAAGAGTGATGTTACATCAAAACTGACCAGTTTAAAATCATAATTAATGTGTAAGTTATTGAGCTTATCAACCAGATCCACATTATTCTTAATATTAGAGGTAGAAATGTTGCCAACTAGGGGATTTAGTGAAGAAACTCACCATTTAGATAATTTATAAGAGATTGACCCAACTGAGCTGATGATGGGTCTTGCTGGGTTATTAGGCTTATGGGTCTTGATTAAACCGTACATGTATGGCAGTGGAGGGGACGTTGAAGTAAGATGTTTAATGAATTACACGAAAGCGCTTGGGAACTTCGTGTTTTCTTCTTTCCTTGAGGTTTTATATATATATATATATATATATATATATATATATATATATATATATATATATATATATATATATATATATATATATATATATATATACATATACATATACATATATATATATACATATACATATACATATACATATATATACATATACATATACATACATATAGATATACATATATACATATACATATATATATACATATACATACATATACATATACATATACATATATACATATACATATATATATACATATATATATACATATATATACATATATATACATATATATACATATATATACATATATATACATATATATACATATATATACATATATATACATATATATATATATATATATATATATATATATATATATATATATATATATATATATATATATATATATATATATATATATACATATATATATATATATATATATACATATATATACATATATATATGTAACCGGTCGGAATTTACTGGACTTTATTTTCTCACTTGACTTGGGGTTTATTAAAGATTAATAGATGGTAATGGCAGTGGAAGCGCCCCTTTGAGAAAAATCCCGAACCAGCACAAGAGCACTTAAATCTACTAAACAAAATGACTTGTCCGTGACCCGTGGAAGGATAGCGTCTGTGACTGGGATGAATGAGACACTCTGTAAAATTTAGACACTTATATTCCCTCCAACACTACAAACACAATCAAATAATGGTACACCAATATGCGCACCTCTTAACTTGAACTTAAAACACTACTCTGGGGAATAAAAGTTATACATGATATTGAAATTATTAGAAACTCAGGCAACAATAAATTTAAAGTATTAAGAAATGTTGCTTGCACACATGAAACAGGCCTTAAGGGTTTTCACAGAATAATATCCACCACTGCGGAAGTGGTATAAAAATAAGAAATTATTAATTCCACCATGAATAGGCCTAAAGGGCACTCAATATAATTATGTTACACCAACAGATGCAGGCCTTAAGGGTTTTCAACAAAATAATATCAGTCACTGAGGAAATGGTATTAAAAAATAAGAAATTAAATACTCTACAATGAATAGGCCTTAAGGGCACTCAATATAATTATGTTACACCAACAGATGCACTCCTAACCTAACTTAAACACTACTCTGGGGAACAAAGGTTATATCAGAGATTGAAACTATAAAAAAATTTTAAATGCACACAGCATACATTAGTAACTGAAAAAATAGTATTAACTACACACAAAAATATTGTCACTATTATAAAGACGTTACTGAGTCCAATACCCATGAACCATGCTCCCTAACCTAACACACACACAGATTCCACCTGCACTCCGTAGTCGTTTAAGGCACAACCAACAGGCACCCGTAGTTGAAGGCCCAAATCAGCCTTTCTCCACCTTGGAAAGTGTACCTCTAACTCCACTGACTCTTGGCCCCAGTGTGCGGCCCTGTATCACTCAGCTGGCCTCACTTTACCCCCAGTACATCCATGAAACGGAAGGGAGTGAGCCAATCAGACCTTGTACAGTTGAGAGAAGCTTTAGCTTCCCGTTAGCAAGAGGGTTTCACTAAGCTGCTCGAGACATGTGGTGTTGTGAGCCGAGGTAGAGGAGAGCTGATGATCCCATCGATCGTCCCGTCGTCAGCTGGGCACCCAGACGGCTAGATTCCCTCAAGAGATCCTTTGATACCCCGCTAAACAGTGACAGGCCTACACTGATCGGTCCAATGGCGACAATCCCCACCCTCAATCATCAATGGCAGTCTCAAACGGCAGTCAATCTCTCGCGGTCATCACTCTCGCAGTCAATTTCTCGCAGTCAAGTGGGTTCTGACGGAAACCCTAAAATGAACTCACTGTTAGCTCTTGTTAACTTTACCACTGCCCTATCTAACCCTGTCTGAGATCGAATGAGACTTACTTGTTATACTGCAATAGTGCAACACAGGTGACTAGGCCACGTGACTATTTCTGTGGACGGACGCGCAGGGATGTCCTGTAGGTCCAATCGCTTTCACGTGACTGAGGACCAGCCAGCGTCGCGTCTCTCCAAGGCGCTAGCTTAGGCCTACGTGACATATTTTCCGCCTAACTAATAACTCCTTGGGACACCCGTGACATTATTCAGACTGATAAACGATCTATAATAATTTCAAATTCAATAATAGTCCCTTAACTTCATGAATCGCATCATTATTAATTCGGCAAATTACATTTAATATCACTTAGGCCTAGTTCCACAACCTCTCGCTATGTGCAGGGAGCGCTCTCTTCCCTCCGACGACCTTGAAAGCTCAGTATTGCCAATTGCGCGTGTTTGAAATTACTCTGAAATTTCTGAATATTACATATATATATATATATATATATATATATATATATATATATATATATATATATATATATATATATATATATATATATATTATATATATATATACAGTATATATATACATACATATACTGTATAGTATATACATACATATATATACATATATATATACATACATATATATACATATATATATATATACATATACATACATAAACTGTATAGTATATACATACATATATATACATATATACATATATATATATATACATATATATATATATACATATAC